GCTCTGCACCAGAGAAGGGGACAGCGCATGGCACTAGCAGGGACGCCCGGGGCACACTAAGCAGCACCCGCCATCCCACCCTCAGCCTACCGCTGCTGGGAACAAACAGGGAAAACGTTCGCTCCGCGGGACCTGCATGAATCATGCTTCCCTTGGTGCATTGGAAAGGCTGATGGCTGAGCCTGGGGGCAATTGAGGAACCCCTGCCCCGATATTGTTATAAAACCGGGATGTAAATTGACGAAATCTTTGCTATTTTAGAACTCTCAGGGGGGTGGTTGCTAGGGGGCGGGATAGCTGGTCTCTCTCCCCCTCTTCCCCCTCCATTTAACAATTAAAATGCTCTTTGTATCTGACCTTTTGTTTAGGGAAAAAAGCCCAAACCCAAACAATGTTTTCAATGCAAAGCCCCCTGCAGAGCTGATAGAATGTGGATCAGCAAAACAAGCCCGTGTTTGTTCTCTGCACCAGCTACTGGCTCTCGGGAGCCAAGCAGCAAACTCTGCCCACCCCGGCCACCTCCCAGCCAACTTTGCTGGGCTGGAGGGGGACGCCGGGGTAAAGCGCTGCTCCCCGCTGACTTGCCAGGCCTGCCTGGGGGCATGGACAGGAGGGGGCTCTGGGAGTTACGGGCTCCCTGTATAGGATTCACACACCCCTGGGCATAAACTCCACTCCAGTTCCAGGGCCCATGTGAGTCTGACATCCTTGTATAGGCTGCAGCTGCCACCAGGAGAGAACCCCAGACTGTGAGGAAAGGAGATGGACCCAGCCACCATAGACCGGGACAGAGGAAGCGCAGGCAGGCAGGCAGAAGGGGCATAGTACAGGGGCGGGGCTGGAGACAGAGGGTCAGGTGTCAAGAGGGAGCAAGTTTGGTGAGACACCTGGCACTCAGGACGGCAAACCCTTCACCAGGCTGCTGCTGGCCAACAGTGGCCTCTCTGCCCGTAAAGATCTCTTTCCTCCAACTCTGCCGCAGCACTTCCTGCTAATGACACTGGGTCAGGGTGGGGAAGGGGCCTGGTCTCCTGATTTTCCTTAAAGCCCCAGCTCCTGGAGGCAGGTGATTGTGGGCAACGCTCAGCTCTCTCTCACTTTTTTTTTCCCCCCAGTTTCTAGCCATTGCCTACAAACATGAGCCAAGGGTGCCCTAAAGGCTAAGGAACCAGAAGGCAAAGCAAAAGGAGGCCCCGTTTTTTTAGATCTCGTGATTTTTAAGCCTTTCTGGAGCTGGGCTCAGGCTTTCGGAAGGCTCCCCTTGGCGATGCCCCTCCGATTGATGCAGGGACACTTCCTCTCCGGTTACAACGACGTGGCAGCCAGTAGCCAACAAAACAAGGAAGCGCTAGGTCTTGCTGGGGACCGAGCCCCCAGCAGCGGGGGCACGACAGGCCCACGAGGACCCTCCATCCCCCTCTCTGGTGAAATCGCACTGACTTCACTCCGAGCGAGCGAGCAGACGATTTCCCCCGACCAAGAACATAAGGAGGGTGGGGGTGGCAGGCTGGGATCCTCCCCGGGAATCCGAGTTCCACCCTCCAGCAATTCTTTGGGCAGCCCCACACAGTGGCCGCCAGCCACGCTGCGTGGCATAGCTAACGTGGCTCAAATCCCAAGGTCCTGGCCGCTTGGCTGCACAGTCTTTCTCTAGCACAGCCTTGCACAGCCCTCTCCTGCCATCTAGCGTCGTGCAAACGCCAGGAGACCAGGGCCAGGTTCTGTGCTCCACCCCGTGTTGTCTTACGTTGGCTCTCAGGCTGAGATTGTCCAAGGGCCTTGGCCGGGCTTGGTTCTCAAGCCCGAGTGCTCTTTGATGGATGGGCGTCCTGCAGAGGCTGCGGATGGACCACAGCCGTCCCCCAGCCGACACAGAGCCAGACAGGCCGTGGCTCTGGATGCCAATCTCCCGCCTTGCTCCACGCGCAGGCCTGGCCCCAGTGCAACGGCTGCACAAAGCCCACAGCAGCGAGCGGGCCTGGGAAGGAGAGTGACGAGCTGGATTAAGAGAAGCCAGTTCTGCCCTGTCCTGCCCCCATGCTAGCTCACCAGCGTCAGTGGCCCTGACCAGGTTCAGCTGGGGTCAGTGTTTGGCCCCCAGTGCTGGGATCTGGACTCGGGCCTTGGGAGGAGCAGTCCTTTCGCAGAGGAGGCTGCGAGCACTTTGCAAACAGTCAGTTTGGCTCAGCCCAGCAGGAAGGGGAAGCTCTCTGGGGCATGGGCTAGGTCTTTCTGGGCTTGTACGGCACTCAGCACACTTGGGATCCTGAGCAGGGCCTCTGGGCACTCCCTGACCCTGAGTATTAAATAAAGAGAGATTAGCCCCATTTCACAGCTCGGAAAACCCAGGCAGGGCACGAGGCAGGAATTTGCCCAGGGTTACAAAGAGGGCCAGCGGCAGAGTTGTGGGGAGATGCCTTCCCACCCAGTCCTCTGCTTTAACCACTAGCCCATGCTCTCCCCCCCTTGCTGGGGGCAGGGAAAGTGCATTGCTCTAGAAGGGAGATCGCTGGCTCTTGGACAGGAGGGGTCATAAGGAGGAGCCCCCCCAAGAGTTTGTTTGGGTACTAACCTTAGCCACTGAGGCAGCCTGCGGCGTCAGGACGGGGAGGGACGTGGGGCTGCCAGGGCACCGCACAGCGGCACGGCGAAGCAGGGGGCAGGAGTGCAGAGACAGAGCGGGGGTGGGGAAGCCAAGGAACACGTGAGGGTAAAGGGACGGGGCAGGGGCTGATGGAAATGGCTGTGGACTGAGCTCCTCTCCAGCCTGCCCCGTTCACCAGCTCCCTGCTGAAGCCGCTCGGTGCACTGACCGCGGGGCCCTCAGGATCGGGCCCAGAGGGGCTGGCTGGAGCCACTGCCATCCTTTTATCACACATCCCCCAGGTGCATTGGTGGAGGCTGGGGGCAGGAGAGGGCAGAGGCCAAGCCTGCCAGGCCCATTAACCCTCTAGCAGCAGCGCCAGCCGCCCCGCTCCGGGCGGGTTTACACAGGGGCCAGTGAGGAAGGGGGTTTTGCTGCATCAGTGATGAGCAGCCCCAAACCAGGTGTTCCCACCGCGGGGGCCCTCGGCCGCTCGCGGCTGTCGCTCCGGTGTTGAGAGAATAGTCACAGCCCTTGCCTGAGCCTGCCTCCCTCACTCGGGCAGCGTGGCGTCCCGGAACAAGGGAGGCTGGCTCCGTTCCAAAGAGACGGGCAGCTGCATGCTGGCAATGGACCATCCAGCCCTAGGTGCCGCTTCTCTGACCTGTCACCACCCCAGGAACGACACATGGGGCTCCCTGTTTATTCACCCTGTCCGGTTCCTAACAGGCTGGCTCAGGGTACAAGCCATCCTTGCTAGAAGAAAACCAGCAGAATCATTTGCATGTGTACAGTGCCCTCGAAGGCAGTTGGGGAGAGGTTCACTTAAAACTGATCAAGGGATTTTTTTCACCCTGTGTATAACTAGCCTGCGGACGCCCCTGCCACAAGATAGCACTGAGGCCAGATGATAGCAGGGTTCAGATCAGGACTGGGCATTGATAGGGAAAGGACAGTAGGACTAAAAGCCACCCAGGGTTTTGAAAGGGATCTAAACCTTCATACTTTAGTGCATGAGCCAGCTTCTAACTAACTGAGGTCAGGAGGAAACTTGCTCCATGGGCAGGTTTTCCCATTCCTGCAGGCTGCAGTGTTCTTTGCACCTTGCTCGGAAGCATCTGGTTCTGGCCAGAGCCAGAGACAGGATACCAGCCTAGATTGTCCCCTGGTCCAAGTTTGTATGACAAGTCCTGCGATTAGTATTATACCTGCTTTACAGCAAGAGAAACTGAGATTAACAGACTGGGTGACTCGCCCAAGGCCAGCCAGATGCAGAGTCAGGAACAGAACCCAGCAGAATGATGCCTCCCAGCCCTCTGTTCTAACCACTAGGCAAGACTGCCACAGTTACTCTAGGAACTCCAGCGTCAGCAGCAGTTGAGGTTGTGTCAACAGGGACGGGGTGGGAGGTGTGAGAGGCGTGGGATGTGGCTTGCTCTCCTGTAGCCATGGTGGCTCTGGAGTGGGGGGCTCATAGGCCTGGGAGGCGCACAGAGAGCACATGCCACTTCTCTGAATGCAGTCCTGCTCACCTCTCCCTCATCATCCAGGAGTTCAAATGAGGACTGGGAGCCAGGAGATCTGGCCTCTCCTCCCTGAGTCTGCTACCAACTCTGTGAGTGACCTTGGGCACGTCACTTAGGGGACATCTACCCTGCAAAAAACACCCTGCAGCAGCTAGTCTCTAAGCCTGCAGGCTGGGGCTCACAGTATGGTGCTCAGCATAGCTGCGTAGATGTTCCCACTGGGGCTCTGAAACCTGGGGAGTGGGGGGCTTTCAGAGCCCGAGCTCCAGCCCAAGCGGGAACGCCTGCACGGCTCCATTTAGTGCCTTAGCGTCAGCCTGCGTCTGTAGGCTCGGGCTGTGAAACCTGCGGCGGCAGGCTTTTGTTGGGTGTTTTTTGCAGCGTAAACATAAGCTGGTCTCTCTGCGTCTCAGTTCCCCATCTGCACTCCAGGGATAATAGCACGTCTCTGCTCCCAGGGGTGTTGTGAGGGTAAACTCCTTGAGGCCTGTGGGTGAAGCAGAGCCAAAGATGTACCCAGACAGGTTGTTGCAAAGGGTTACGTTACAGCAGAGGGACCGTACCTGCAAGATAGCCCCACAGAACAACTGGGAGTTGCACAGGATGCTCCGATGAGTCTGCACCACCTCCTTCAGCCAGCAGGGGGGATTCTAGTTTCGTGATAAAATCTGGTCCCCAGACTGAAGAGTATTTTTGCAGCAAGGAAGGGAAAGGATGATAGTAAGACGTAACCGCAGCTCTTGTAGGCCAGACCTGCGCTAGCTTTAATTCAACTGGCATGGCTGAAACCAGCAGCCAAGGCACAGAGGCCTGGACTTCCACTCCAGCTGTACAAACTCTAGAAGAGAGGGGGGAAATCTGTGTTTTCTAGATAAAATATCCAGAATCGGTAAGGGAAGAAGTTTTATTTTCAAGCTTCTGAGAAGCTGCAAACAATGGGGCATTCACACGCAAGAACTGAAAGAAGGCAGAATGTGTTGGTAAGAGAAAATTTGTTATTCATGAAACAAACTATCCAATCCCCCACCACCTGGGGTTTTTTTTTTTAATGATCACCATTATGGCATTTCAACATTGGATACACTGAGGATTTATGCATTTCATGGATTTGAAGGATTTTTGCAGAGGTTTTTGTTTTGGTGCATGGAAAACACGTTCCTTTCCAACGCTGCTCCTTCGGGCAGGCTCATGTTGAAATGTCAGGCAGCCAGTAAGTAAAAGGATGTTTCTTTACGATCTCTACTCACCACCTGTGACGGTCACTTGACTGCATGAGGCTGGCTGAGTGCTTCTCGAAGAGCTGCAGGTGCTCAGTGAATCTCAGAGCAGCTCCTCCTGAACTCAGACTCGCCACTGACAGCAATGGAGTGGCACTCCCTAACTCCAGCAAAGAATTTGGCCCTTGGTGTTGCATTTCTAACCAAGTAGATATCTTGGCCAACAGCCACCTGTATATGTAGGGGCTTGGTTGCCACCACTAAGGATGCAGAGTACAACAATGGCATTGTCCCATGAAGAGCAGAGAGAAGGAGATTCATAGATTCCAAGGCCAAAAGGAACTACTGTGATCAAACACTTTTCACTCCACCTGCCACGGCCACAGGGGGATTTGAACCACCGCCCTCTAGCATTGCAAGCAGGAGCCAAGACCCAATGCCACCTCATATAGATACAAGACTGCTCTCAGCAGCCACTGGCTAGGGTGTCCCTGAATGTCCTACTGCATGGCTCAGCATGAATTCACAGCAAGTCGGGCCCTCTGGTGAAGCGAATGGGAGCAGCATTGCCTCAAGGCCTGGAGCCCTACCAGCAACAACTGGTTTTCTATAACGGATGAAAGGGTGAGGTCTGGTGCCTCTCTTCTAGAAGCAGGGGATTTGTTTTGCTGGCAGGAAGAGGACAGTAGTTACAACAACATAAATGATGAGCAACTAAAGGCTGGTTTTACATCTCCGCAGCACAGCCTTCCCCTTAGCACCATGAGGCAACGACCGTTCAGCCCTGACCCGGAGGGAAGAGCACCACTTACTGAGTCACTAACCCCACCTCCGACAGCCCTTTGGCTTTCCCTTGCCCTCTTGCAAGTGTCCATCACAAAGAATGACGCGAAGAGAAACCCGGCCCCAAGAGGAGATATAAGTGGTTCTCAATTGCCTATTCTTCCTGGTTTTTCCAGGAGATGGTAGCAGCTGTAGAAAGTCCATTTCATTCTCCGACCAGCCTGTTGAGCTCAGGTTGAAAGAACGAGGGAGAGAGAGCTAGTTCAAACCCATGGAATATCAGGGGATCTAAGATTTCCTAGACTACTTGCCACTATGGCTACCATGCCCAGCCTTTCGGGAGCTAGATGGCTTTCTTTCCAGCACCTGCTGGGATAGGAAGCCAATATTGCATGTCAATGAACAGTCCTGGGAAAGCAGCAGACATGATCAGGTGGTGCAGTTGTAACCCACACACCTCCTGGGTGTGGTGTTCTGTCCCATCTAGTGGTACCAAGACCACTTAAAGAAAGAGATAAAATGAGTCTGCTCCACAGCCTTAGCTAATAGCCAGTGGGCTTTTAGCTCATGCAGTAGAGGCTCATGGACTAAGCTCCAGAGGGGTGCCAGCTTCAATCCCACCAATCAGGGTCCGTCAGCGTTACACAGTGCGAGAGATTTCCTAGCAGACAAGAAGCATTTTCATGATCCGGGAGCCTCTTCTTACCCTATTACCCTCTTCTTTCACTGCCCTGTCCTTCCAAATTCCTAACGTACAGACCCGTCGGAGCCGAGACCTCCACTGTGGAAATGTCCCACAAAGTGTTATTCAGAACAAAGGAGCAAATTCTGTCGATGCCACTCAGTTGATTTCAGGACTGTATCTGACCCTCAGTATTTGCTACCTGGAAGAGTAGTAGAGTGGGCCATGAACACAAGAGAAGTCCCTCTCCAATCCCCACAGAGAAGGATGGGATGCAATGGAAAGCAAGCCCCAGCACTGCCTGCTTCACCCAACGGCAGAACCAAGAAATCAGAAGGCAAGGAGTTTCCATGAAATCAGTGTTGCTTACTGGCTAGTATGGAGGTGGTGGTACAATCCCAGGTGCTCAGCACCCATGGGGAGAGCACCATACATGGCTTCCTACTGACCCTATGTGTCCCAGTCCTTTGAGTGCAGAGAGAACAGCTTCTCCCAGCAGGTGACCAAGTTTTCCACCGTTCGCGCTATCTCCTTCAGCTGCTTTCTCCTGTTGCCCTGGCCTCTGTGTCGCGGTTTCTCTGTAGCTGTTGACAGACTCTTCTGTTAGCATGCAAAGAAAGAAAACAGTCACGGCAATGAAAACCATGGCCTAGATACAAACACCAAACAGGACAGAGACCAGTTCAGGGCTGTTCGTACCCCGGGGGAGTACTGGAAAATGAGGGTCCCCAAGCATGCATATAACCCACAGGTAACGGTGGGACCTGTATCACACACACTTCCCAGTGGGTTGCATGCACTCTGCTGGAAACCTGGACACTCATCCCAATGGGCACATGCACATCTGGCAGTACAGGAGAGAAGCCACCTGTGAGGTGTGGGGTTGCACCATCGAGCATCACTCTCCAGAGAGGGTGGGTGCGTTCCAACCTGGTGGAACTTTCCAAGGTAAAACTTCCAATGATGGGGATGGGGCATGGAGGTGTTTCTCTCTCTATATATATTTCAACAACAGCCTAAAATCCTCATAAATAATCCCAGCGTTGGATATTGGCTAATTAATGCAGACCACACACATCTAGTATGGAGGAAAGTCACCTGGCAAGTGGAGAAGATACAAGATCTGTTCCCCAGATGACTTGAAATGGTTCCCTCCCCCAGGTATAGGTCTCCATTCATAGGTGCTCTGATAGACTATTCAGACCAGTCAGCCACATTCCCCAATGAGACGACACTAAATAAATTAATTTCTCTGACAAATTGAATGGAGGAGGGGCGGAGCCAGGGATTCCCTAAGACTGCCAGGTAACCTGAGCTCATCGGCAGACTCTTGCACAAGGGCATCAAACATGAATGGATTCCCTCAGCTTGGGCTTTCCCCCGCGACTCTCCCAGGTGAGGAGTATCCGTTAATGAACCCTACACAAGTGCCAGATAGGGAGAGGGTGGCTATCAGCTTGGAGTTTCCCTAAGGTTCTCCCCCAGGAGAAGGCTAAGGGAATTCATTTCAGACACAACAGAACAGCTCAGTGACAGTTCAAAGGCATCATTCCAGGGCAGACGCTGGATCTTGCCCCAGGCCTGCATGTGATGCTCAACAAAGACAAAGTGGGTGAGGTAATATCTTTGATTGGACCAACGTCTGGTGGTGAAAGAGACAAGCTTTCGAGCTTGCATGCACAGACCTGAAGAAGAGCTCAAAAACTTGTCTCTTTCACCACCGGATGCTGGTCCCACAAAAGATATCACCTCGCCCACCTTGTCTCTCTAGCATCCAGGGACCAACAGGGCCACAACACTTAAACGTCTTCACGAATGGCATTTTTGAAAGGGCTGGAGAGCCCTGGAAAGGCTGCTGCTTTCTGCAGCTGTGTTTCTGTAACCCACACACCTCCTGGGTGTGGTGTTGTCCCACCGAGTGGCACCGACACTACTTAGAGAGAGAGATTAAGGAGTCACTGCTACAGCCTTAGCTAAGGGCCGTTTGGCTTTTAGCTCATGCAGTAGAGGTTCATGCACTAAGCTCCAGAGGTCCCAGGTTCGATCCTGCCTGCCAGCTACCGGGCTCTGTTGGTTTTACACTTCTGTGCTGGAGTCTTGCTGGAACGTGCATGGTGCAGTCTGGTGCAAGGGGGCAGGTTCCTCTATAGGGATCAGCCTTCTGGGAGATCCGCTCCATGGACCAGCTGCTGGGAATGGCACAGACTCTGGAGGAAGATCACTTTCTTTTTCCTTGCATTTATTTTCTGAGCGGATCAGAGCCCAGGAGCCCCAAGGGCTAAACCTCCACTGGGAGTACTCCTTTGGACTGGGATGCCAGGTGAAAAGCTTGGGAGCTAATCAGACTCACTGAGCAAAAATTTCAGTTGGGAAGAGGTGCCGGACAGCTGCACCCCAGACTCAAATGATCGCCCAGATCTTGGACAATCAGGACTGTGGGAAAGGATTTGCCCACTGCCCTGTACCCCCACCCATGGCTGCTGTTTTTTCCACTGTCCCAGCTGCATGGCAGAAGAGAAAAGCAAGCCCCAACCTTGTAGATTTTCTTGCAGTTCTGTTTGGTCACAGACTCCGTGTTGCTGACCACCTGCATCACAGCCATCACTTCAGGATGCCTCTGTGGGCCTCTTACCATGTCCCTGAGAGACATGCTCATGGTGGAGATAGACAGCAGGATTTTCTGCTCCTGAACAAAGAAGGATGCAAAATCCAGATGAGCAGAGCCAACTCGAGCAGAAAACACTAGGATTAGTGGATGAGCCAGTGCTAGCTTAATACGAGCTCGGGGTCCCAGATTCTTAGATCACTGGAGTAAAGAGTGCCCTAAAATATAGTCATTGGCCACCCCTGCCCCCCCCCCAAATTCCCTTCCCCCACTCTGTGCCGTAATGCCCACTAGAATACAGCTGAGGGAAGCTGTTCTGCTGACCGCTTGGGGAACAAGGCATGAGACAGTGTCACCGGGGAAGCGACACCAGCGTGACCTGCCGCCCACCCACCTGCACTGCCATGTTAGCATTGCTGCTGCCCAGCAGGAGCCACCCCAGCCGCTAAAGAGACCCGCAGCCTTTCCCTCAAAGGGCAGGTCATGGGCACGTCCATTTCCCTTTTTTGAGGATCCCCCCTCACGCACACACACACTTCCCCTTGTTTGAATACAAAAGAAAAAGCCCTCGGTTATTAGCTACACAAAAGCTGGGGGACAGGAACTCAGAACAGAGCAAACAGCAAAATCCTCAAGTGTTAGCAGCAAACGGTGCGAAAGGTGGGGTGACTAGATGTCCCGATTTTATAGGGACAGTCCCTCTATTTGGGGCTTTGTCTTATATAGGCGCCTATTACCCCCCCCCCGGTCCCGATTGTTCACACTTGCTGTCTGGGCACCCTAGTGAAAGGGGCACATATCACAGTGAACTGGCTAGTGCGTCTATGCTCTACTGCCTCCTCCTGGGTGGAATCGTAACTGCTCCAATAGTTAATGGCGGTTCGGAGTCCCAGGGGTTTGGAGTTCGGTAGCCACGGAGCTCTGAGGGGCCCTGGTGTACAGCCCAGTGACAACACTGGCTGCGGACTTGTCACACCAGGGTCAAAGTGAGACGGGAACTTCTGTGAGTCTCAGACACTCGTGGCTGGGCTTTGTCTAGCGAGGGGAGTGTGTCGAACTGGCTAGAGAGCAAGCGTCAGTCACGGCCCTCTGCTGAGTGCGATAAGAATGATTTGGCCGTGTCCCTGCTGCCACGAAATGCTGAGTGGCCCTGGCATGAGGATTAGTCACTGTGTGGCCACTCACACATTCCCACAACAACTGGCTTTCCGGTACTTCCGGGAATGGCGTGGGCCCACCCCATCGGTGCGACCTTGCGCACGTGGGGCACAGGAAATCGCTCTGCAGGCTCCATTTTGAAGAGTGCGCCGCTCCATTCCCGCTGGGGTGACCTTGCACACATGGCGTGCATGAGGTCACGTTGCACAGATGACGCCATTTTGAAGAGCATGCCGTTCCAGCCTTGCCACGTGACCTCACATGCACCGGGTATGCAAGGTCACAGCAAGGGCGGGTGGAGCGGTGCGCTCTCCAAAATGTCAGCCCTGTCCAATACTTGACAAAACCACATCTGGTTTTGTCTCAGTCCTGGACAGGGAACAAACCACCCAAGAAGAGGACTCTGCAGCTTAAAACCAGACAAACGGCCTGCCTCCATGCACTGCAGGATAGCCTGATGTGTGACCCAGTATTGTACAGACTCACATCTCAGCCTCCATGCTTTTTCTCATACACAAACACACACCCGTTCAATGGCAAAACCTGTGTGAAAACAGGAAGAGAACGCAGATCACCCTGTTCCACATACACAGACAGGGCTCATTGAGCTAAAGGGAAGTACTGGCTGTTAGCTAGCAGTACAGGGCTGATGACACACAGTTGAGCAGTCCTGATTTCATCTAGTACAGGATGCTGGTGTACAACCCCACACCCCCACCAAAGTACATTGCAGAGAAAGCATTTGTCTAGAAGCCAGCATTTACCTTGTTAGAGAGGCAGGCTAGGCCAGCTCTCCCCCTCCTTGGGGTTCCAGCAGATCCCGTCAAGTTTTTCTGTGTAAAATACAAGGATTACAAGCTGCTCAGCTTTGGGCCTTTCCCCACGGCTCCCCTGAAGTTACTGTCCCGCGCTCTGTGCATAGCGCAGGCTTTGTGCGCTGGGGAGAAGAGATCCACTGAACTGAGCAGAGCACCCCATGAAGCTCTATGGCTGGCTTGAGAGTGGGGAGAGTGCTCCTTACAAAAATCTCCTGGCACTTTTCATGGGGCGGGGAGTTTGCTGTTGCCTTGGCAGCTGCATTCCAGTGGCGCTCTGGGCGCGCGCTTCCCATTCTCAGGGAACACTGTTATATTCCAGCAATGCCTAAAGGCCCAGGTAGGGTGGAGGCCCGATTCTGCTGGGCGCTGTACCCACATCAGTGAAGCCACAGTCCCTGCTCCAAAGGACCGAGGCAGCCTAAGACAACCTGTGCCGCATGGCCAGATAGCTACATTTTTATACCTGCCCACCTGCCAGGGACCGTCCACTCACCAGGTTCTGGAGCTCATCGAAGATCACGGCTTGGTACTGCCGCAGGATTTCCACAATGCTGCACTTTGCCTTGCCCTTGCTCAGCACCGATACGAGCAGCAGCAGAACAGCACAAAGGAGAGTCCTGGGGAGAATCTAGATGGGAAAGAACAACTCAGCTTCCGCATTGTACACTAGTGCCCGACCTGCCTTCCCTGTGCCACAGAGGCTGAAAGGAAGCTGGTTTCTCTTGTGTGGTTTAAAAGCAGGACAGGGAGAGGTCAGCATGGACTCAGACTCCAGAAGTGCATATGGGGAGCTCCTATATAAGAAGTGGAAAGCATTAAGGGTGCATTGGACTGCAGTATAAATAAGGTATCCTCCGGGAATACATGTCCCTGGGTCAGCTAACCAGATTGTGCAGCATTCCCAGCAGATTTGGGCTTTATCAGACCAGGGGAGAGGAAACTCCAAAGCTGAGAGGCCATCCTGGAGGACCTGCTGCTAGCACTTCCTTCTCCCTTTAGAGCAAAGAAGCTTCCGTTTCACCCCAGCTTGCAGCTCTGGCAGCATGGGAGCGATGCAGTCTCAAGTAGGATGGTCCTAGGACATTTCAGGGTCAGATCCAAAGACTTCATTTAGAATTAATGGCAAGAGCATCTCCATCCTTGGAGAGGTGTTTTTATGTGTTCAAACAAAACTGGGGGCAGCTGTCACAATGGTGCATAGGAACAGAGGAGGCCTGAATAGGCAGAAGAATGGCTGCTGTGTGGGAAGCCTATTTTGTCACATTTTAAAAAGGTGCTGAATATAAAATACAGGAGCAATAAAATCCGGTGAGACGTGGTCTCTTGTGCAATTGTTCTGCACTAGGTAGTTCTGCGTCTGCTCCAGTTTTTCAAAAGGGTCCTTTAATCCAGGTGTTCAGTGGTCTCCCACAGGAATGAAACAGACGCTCTTGATGGCTAAATGAGGGGGGAAATAGCCTATGCAGCTCTCTGCTTTCATTGGTGCAGCACGGATCCCTAGTCAAACCTTCAGGCTTCATGCTTTCCACGCAGTACTGAAACCAGCTGTGACATAGCCCTGAAGCCAAAGCTTTGATATCTGAGACTGTTGAGTGGCTGGAGTAAATAAATTTTATCTTAATGCTTGTCCTGTCTTTGAAAAATCCATGATCCTCAGACATGTCAAGGGATGGTCTAGGTTTACTTCCTTCTGCCCCAGCGCAGGGAGTGGAATTGCTATTTGGGTGTGGCAGAATCTTCTCAGATACGCCAGTTCCACACCTTTGTTTTCTCTGTACATTTCCCCAAGAGAAGGGAGATATCACTCCAGAGCAAACTTCAAAACAGCACAGAAGATATAAATAATGCTCAAAGCCATTCATCAAAATGCCAGCTTCGCTGCAAACGGAATATCCCTTTCCACACAGACACCGGCCAAAGTCTAAGGGTTGCTAGTCTGGAAGGCTTCCCCCCAGAGGAAAGAAGGCCATGCCACTTCACTGGAACTATTAAGTAAAGGACTCTTTCCATAAATATCAAATTCCGGAACAGAGCAACACTTACACCATTTCCAAGCAGCTGGGACGGGTACTACATTTTCAGTACTTAATATGTGAAGAAACACAGTCTGCCATTAAAAAGACAGGCTGGCTACACTCTCAAAGGCCATGACCCGCGATTCTCACAACTCATGTGACCAGCCTGGTGGAGGGGCGCACTTAAGAGATACGCTCTTGTGGAAGGAAGACTCTAATGAACAAATCATGAGAACTGTTTTCTCTTAGTAACTGGCACTGTTCAGAGGTGGGAAAAGTTGTTACAGTTAATTCACATGCCCGGGGATTACTAATTCTCTCTCCATGACCGTGTGAAGGCTTTGTCCCTGGCCCCCCTTACACACACACCCCGCCCCCAACATTTCAAAATCAGCCTCACTTAATGTTTGTCAGTAGCATCCAGGAAAAGTTCATTCTGGGTTTAGAAGTCACCTGGTCCCATGGAAGGACCAGGGCTTATCTGTAAGGTTAAGAACAGGTCTGTGAAGGGCACAGGCAGCTAGGTCGAAAAATTCAGCCTGTTAAATTGTGCTTTGCATACGCCTGAAGGGGCTAGTTTCTTCTTTCCCGGCTTTAATCCTCTAGCAAACACTGACAGATAAGGGAAATCACCAGTATGGACAGCAGTTCCTGGTGGCTCGTGCGTTAACCTCAGCGGCACAGAACCTGCTCCGGCAGAAATCACTTTGCCCCCCCCAGTGTCCTGACTTGCACCGCCCTGATAAGTCTGCCCGGGGGTGTGGGCCCTGTAGCTTTGGGTAGCTTGGAGGGCAGAAGGGGTCTGGCTGGCTCTGCCTGAAACCTCGCAGAGAAGCACGAAGGCAAGCCCGAAGGAAATCGGTTTCCACCCAGGGGCTCCCCGCAGTGTCTACGCCCGCCCACGCTCTCCGAGCCAGCCGGCTCCAGCCAGGAGCCAGCACCAGGGCTGCGGGGAGGGGGGGATCCTGCCCTTTCCAGAAACAAGCAGCCGCTGCTGAAAAGAGGGAACATTTACAGGAAAGTCTGGCCCGCGGGACGCGGGGTTTCTCGCTTGGACGGGAACCGTCCCCGGGGGCCGGTGCTGAGTGGGAATTTCCAGTTTCCTTCTCCTGGATCTAGCTGGAATCGGTGCTTCTCCTATGCGGGGGCGGGGGCCCCCCCACATGGTCCCACACGACCCTCTCAGCCCCCTCCCCCAGCAAACTTCCAGGTATCAGCTGCCGCGGGCTAGGATCAAGTCGCCCCCCTCCCTCTCCCCCCGACGGGGACACTCACCATTTATCGCTCGCGGTGCCGATCCCCACTTCTGCAAATGCCCGGGGAGGGAGGCGAGGTGCCCAGCTGCATGGTCCCTTCCCGCCCCTCCAAGCTCCAGGATGCCCGGCGCGGGGGGCCCGTCTCAACCTGTGCCCCTGCCTCCCCTCCGAGCCCCGGCCGCTCCCTCCCCTGCTCCAGCTGGGTCCCAGCATTTGAACTTGGCTCCAGGATCTAGGAGGAGGAGTGGGAGGGGATAAAGCACTGGCGGCTTTAGTCCCACCCTCCCCATCCCCAGATCCTGCCTGACCGAGTTATCCCAGGGGGAGACCGGCACCTGCCCTCCCAGAGCTGGAGGAAGGGAAAAGGGGGCGGGGAGGAGGTGTGGGGGGAGGTGAATCAGCCTCTTAAAGCTTCGACAGGGGGGTAGGATCACGGCAGGAGATTATAACTTGTCTAGAGAGGAGATGGAGAAGCAAGTCTGGGCCTGGGAATGGAGGGTCAGGTCAGATTGCTCTGCTTTACAGTGCAAACTGCTGGGAATCAAGTCCCAGTGGGTGGAGGGTCAGATTTTCAGTGTGCCCCAGAAGTACCTGGTTGAAGAAGGTGCTTTTTGACCTGTATATGGAGCAACCAGGGCAAGTCCCTTCTGGGTTTCAACTGAAATTTCAAACCTTGATTGTGAACTCTTTGGGGCAGGGACCTTGTTCCAGGTATGTAGATTGCAGAGACTCTGAGTCCAGGACAGGGCTACCATACTACAGGTAATAAATAACCATCTCCCTTCCTAAATGTTTCAGAAAGGCTCCTGAAAGCCAATCTCAACCTGAAGTCCTCGGTGCCGGTTTCACCAAGCATGCACAGACCAGGTAAGGCTTCCAAAACACTATGCAACTACTGCTGCTGAAGACAGCCATGCCTAGGCCAAGCTGCCAGAGATCTGAAGATCCTGAAACAAAAGCAAGAGGAAACACTTGCAAGTTCTGCTTTAAAAACAAGGCGTTGGCTCCATCCTTGTTCCCCGAGAACCACCTTTCAGGGCTGAGGATTTTTGCTGTGGGGCTAACTGTGGTCAAAGACCCCGGCTCATGGCAAGGCAGACCTTTCCCTTTCAGTTTCTACTAGCAACACGTTTTAATCATTAGCAATTTCTGAAAGTGGATCTAAAATGGAATTAACCTACTTTAGTGCTCATAACTGCACTTTGTCCTATAAAATCTTGCTACACGTTATCAATTTATAGACCTTAGTGGGAGTAGCCAGTGTGAAATGGTTAAGACACTTTAGCACTGTTTACACACAAATAGAGGTTAAAAAGGTACCTTTGTTGGCCTCAGACGAATGAGCCCAGAATCGTATTTGGAGTGTGAAGTCAGCTAAACCTAATTTAAATTCTTTTCACCATGATTTTTACAGAACAAATTGTGGATAACTAACCTAAAGATTTGACAGCAACCAAAAGCATGCTTCGCCCTTGGGTATTAATAAGACATGGCCCATGCCCCAACAAGTTTACAATCTAAGTTCACACACGATGCAACAAAGATTAATGGACCAACAAAGGAGAACTGGGTTAACAGCAATAAAGAGAGTTACTTGGCAAAGGAGAGGGCACAGAACCATGAAGCAAAAATGTGTGGCTTTTCGTAGGATACCTGAATAACCCAACTAAATTCTTATAGACGTCTTGGCAGAACTGTGCCTCCCAGAAGGGAACGGTCTACTGGATCATTGCTTGAAGCAGGAGGAACTATGTATACTCAAGGACACACCACTAAAGGCTGGATCCAGACATGTTTATTGTGCTCTATGTGCCCATAAATCAAATTTACAGGTTCAAAAATCCATTTTCAAAATTTTAAGACATCTAAAAACATTAAGCTGGTAAAGGGAAGGGTCCATTTTAAAAAAATAAGCATCAACATTTAAGGGCCTTTTGAAAGATAAGGTGAAAGGCAGAAACACTGGGTGGCAAGAGGAATTTCATGCTCTCAAAGAAACAAATCCACATGCTGGTACATCGCCCTCACATCGTGATGCTTTCAATACCCCATTCTGTGCCTCAGCACTGGGAGAGAGAGTACATTTACCCTGAAGGGTGAATTTGTGTATTAGTATGTTGCTACATTTTATGCTCTTTAAATTAGGGAAAGTTCACTCCAATATCACACAAAGCCTTAATGAACGGCCTTTGTGTTGGGAACAAAGCAAGGGAAGGGGAGGATGGAATTCAGCCCTCAACCAATGGGCAGGGATGCACTGTGGAGGTCAGAGTCCTAATCCTACAACCCTATCTGGGAGTTTCCCAGACATTGGAGCCAACAGCCCTTCCCCAGCCCATTTCAAAGCAGAGTGTTAAAAACCTCACTGTGTTCCCTCCAACACAGCCTCACTGCAGGACTTAAGTGCCATATAGGGCTTCACAGGTCCTCGGTACCTGGGTGACCGTGAAGCCCAAGCTTGCTGCCCTGATTACTATTGTATGTAGATTGTCTAGCACATTTCCAGTACTATGGCACTTTCCAACCAAAAGGAACAGTCCCCTCCCCTTACCACCTAAGATCTTACCACCTAAAGAGACAAAGGACAGATGAAAAGACAGGGAAGGGATACCACCAATAAGCAGAGGGGTCAGGATAGGCCCCACAGGTACTCAATATGTAAATGCCATTTGTTAATATATGCAGTAGCCATATTGGTCCCAGGATATTAGAGAGACAAGGTGGTCGAGGTAGTATCTTTTATTGGACCAACTTCCGTTGCTTTAAGCTTGTCTCTCTCACCAACAGAAGTTGGTCCAATAAAGCATTACCTCGCCCACCTAGTCTAATTTGTTAACAAATTTTTTCAAGCTGACCCTCTGCAGAACATTAGTTTGACCCAACTCTGGGAAATCCTACTTAAACTATCCCCTTATCTATACCCTCCCCATCCCAACCAACAAATGCTCCTGTCCTCTCTCAGTACGGTTAACCCAGACTCAGACTCAGCCCCTGCATCCCCCATGCAGAGAACCTTCACTCTCCCTCTGCATCAGTCCCCATTCTCCAGCGACGGAAGGAAAGTCACTGTTGGTGGTGGAGAATCTCTTGGGATACTGGAGGTCTTCCCTCTTCATGCTGCTTGCCCTAACAGCTGCAGGCCTGAGCCTTTGAAAGCTTACAAGCCCACAGCACACCAATGCGGTATACTTTTCTTAATGAAGGTGCAATTGCACATGTTCTCACCAGATACCTGAGAGAGAACACATGGGTTTCATTTCGCATTTATAAACCTGGAAGAAAAACTTTCATCAAGAGTGGCCACTTCTTAAACAATGTGGCACTTAAAGCAAAAGAACATGAGAAAGCTTGGCAGACAGATACATTCCTCACAGGGGCACCATTGTAAGGAGTGTAGCTGGCCTTTTATAGGATACCCACCCACTAGTCAGATCCAACCACCCTGCATTTAGTCTTTGACACGCAACAGTCAGTGCAATGGAGGAAATGGTGGTCAAATAGAATTCAAAGCAAAACACAAGACAGTTGTATTTTATAGCATCCCATTACATCTGTACAGTTTTCCAGGCAAGTGACAGGTTTTCTTCAAGCAACATTCTATGATGATACATACTTAAAAAAAATCACTATATCCTAATATACAAATGCTATTAAATGAAGTTGGAGACGTTTGTATCTTTCAGTTGGTGAAGAAAATAGACACAATCTCTCTGGAGGACATTTCTTTTCACTCAAAGGAGGATCAAGAGACCGAAAGTCACCCCTTTGGGTCAAAAAATGGCACTGCTCATAGGTTTAGAAAACCTTACTCATGAACCTAAGACAACTTACAGGGGCTACAGACACAGAGATAATCTATGTGCTCCAAGATCATCCCAGCAACAAGCTAGTTTCTCCATTTGAGTTTGGAGAAGTTTTTCATATCCATCCATCCTGGAGGTCATCTTTAGTTGCTAAAGCACATGGCTTCTTAATGGTTCTAAGAATAAAGATTTTTTCTTTAGAGAGCCTCAAGTTGTTTTTACCATGTTGTTTTAACACTACTGCTGTAGTATTACAGTGAAATTATTCTATTAAAATAATATGCTTACATTATACATTTAAAAATTAGAGAAAATATCACTAAAAATAGGTTCTGGTTATTGAATTTCACAAAATGCTCAATTATGAATAGTTTTCCACAAAAATCTGACCAGGATTCTACCCCAAAAGTTGAGGAGGTAGTTCCAGTCTAGTTTTGTCACACCAAACACACATTTTTGCCTTCCATTTCTGCCACCATGCCCTTCTTTCCACCCCAAAATTCCAGGCATGTCTTCCACCGATTATTGTTCTTTGGTTCCTCTATTTACTTTAAGCCTCAGTATGTTTAAATATCAAGGAGACAGCTTTGTTGACAATGAGTCATCATTAAATGGGCCAAACACCAAGAAACTGAAGGCCTGGCTGACAGGAAGAGAACTCGTGCCAGGGAAGACACCAGAGGAGTTGCAAGTCATCAGAAAGTGATCAAGTAATAATTAAGGTTTGAATTTACAGAATGGGTTCACACATCCGAATGAGAATGCCTATCAAACCTATGCAAAATTACTCAGCACCACCACCTGCCAGCAATGTTCACAGAAGACACCATAACACAAATGTATCTGATTATGCCACACCAACGACGTCAATGTGCAGTCTCAAGGGCTACCGCAGAAGTGGAAGGGACTGTCTCCTCATCTTAATATTTTTTTTGGAAAACCAGGGGTCCTCCTTTGTTCCACCAACTTCCTTCATTCACTCTACGCAATTGTGTTGCTGGCAGGGTTGGAAACGTATAGCAAAGGGGCCCGTGTCCTCCAGGGGTGATTGATGCAGCTGAACACAGCATACTCTAGAAGGCATTTTTAATTTTGGCTGCCACAACGACTAGGATCTCTCCAATTTTCTTCTGCCAGTTCTCTATGTCCTTGGACACTTCACACCACAGCTCTCCATGGCGGGGCTCGGCATTCTCACAGCGCTTTTTCACCTCTTCCTGCTGCTCCTATGGAGGAAGGAAAACAACAGGCTGGGACTACCTTAATCCCCCAATTCTTTCCCCTAGCTGAGCAAGAAGGTCTTCAGATCCTACCGTTCCTCCTAACGCACTGGTACATTGGGCCTATACAAACCATTAAAAAAAGAAAAAGCGGTGGAAATCAGGGTTAG